GTATCTTTAGCTGTTGTTATGGCAGGGATCCATGCAGTGATTGGATGTTTACAGATGTTTGTTGTGGTTGTATGCCGTGCAACACGTCCTGTGACGTCAGAGTAGGTTCTGATCCAGTCCTCAGGGCTGAATCCTTATTCCTGGGTTCTGTTATCAGACTTCTATATTGGGAAGTGACTTGTCCAGGCTAAGAGGCAGCTAGCTGCAATCAGAGCCTGGCAGCTGCTGGGAGGAGGAGCTCAGCTCTGTTTCCTGTTCATATTCTGCTGTAAACTATGCAAGACACCTCTCTGAAGAATCTGACCCGATTCTTACATAAATAGCTGTCCTACAGCGCTTTGAGACATTATATATCACCCACCCACCCCCCATCAATGTTGGTCACTTTTGCAAACTCCAACCATGATCTGATTTGCTATATTAGGATGGGATGTAGGAAAAAGAAGTGCATGTTTTGGGATGTTTATAGTGTCCATATAGTACCACAAAAAGTGTGGAGTGGATCGATTTAGGACATGATTATGAAAGAGGGGAAAATGGAATGACCTATACATATCTTAAGTGTTGTCATTCAACCCGATGGGTTAATATTAAGCCTCACCACCTTATGCTGCAGGTCTTTTGGGGTTTCTGTCAGCTTTGTGCACGTAGAGAATGAAAGCTTGGTCAGATCGAATTGGCAGCATTTATTAATTTTTTTTTTTTTTTTTTTTTTTTTTGTGGATTTAGGTTTAGACCTAAACTACACTAATTTAAATCATTCGTTGTTTCTATTTTATATCTGTCTGTATCACTTCTAAGTCTTAGAACTTGGACTAATGTGACCAGAGCACCCTTTCTGTCAGGTCTCCTGTGTTTCTTTCATGCTTTGTGGAAAACTGTAAGCAAATATATTATTTTTCTTGACTGTCTTCCATTAAAAATAGATTCAAGTTGTGAGGTCGACATTCTTCTGTTTGAGCTTTGGATCGTTGCAGCTCCTCCAGAGTTAGCCTGGCCTTCTTCATTGCTAACTAGAAAAAAAAAGAAGTTCTGCCAGGTTGTTGTGTCTAAAACAACCCAAGACAACACAGAGAGAATAAGCAGAAAATAATTATTCCTCAATAGGTCTTATGCCATGGAGTGCACTCACACTCTATGGTGGGAGGGATTGCTTTTGAATCAATGAGTCGATGCAATCAACTGGTTTTCCTTAGATAGAAAACTTTCGAATCAGTTTGACTGCATGATCTAATTGAATTGTCTCTGTAAAGTGCCTTGAGATGGCGTGTTGTGAATTGGCTCTATATAAATTAACTGAATTAAATTAAACTGAATTGAATTACTCTCGTGGAGTATGCAGCAGCCTTAGCAGGTCATTGCTGTCCTTTACAGACCTGTCAGTAAAAACAGATGGTCACCTCTTCATAGGTCTGGAACTGTGTAGTCTCTGTGTGTCTTTGGATAATGGATTAAACAGTATTCTATACAATGTCCAAAACATGATTTTATTTTATAACCTTATCTTGCTGCTTCAAACATCTGTACATCCGTCTCCTTGGCCTTTCTGCTGCGCCCTTTGGTCTTTATGGGTCTGTTTGTCCACTAATGAGGCCTCCACACTGGAGTTGCATTCATGCTAAGATTAAATTACGCACACATCTATTTCCTAATAAATTGACTTTTAAGGGATTTTAGTTTTACTTGATTTTATTTCAGGATGTCAGATAAAAAAAAAAAACATGAATACAGTACTCTCCTTCTTAGTGTTGGTCATAGGATACATTGTAGGTTTGAAAATGTTCCATTCATGAGGTAAGCTTTACGAGCAATCCCGTTTCAGATGAGGTAGAGTCCATCAAATAAAAGACATTAACGGGCTGACCAGAACAGAGCAGATATGAGGCGCCTCAGTTTGTACAGGATCATAAAAACTCTGCAGCATGTTTACTTTACCCAGCTGGAATTCTAAAAATACACCACCAGTTACAAGAGACACTTTTCTTTGTGGACCCAATGAACCTGACATAAATTACAATCTGCCAGCAGTAAGGGACGAATGATGTTGGAGTTGTTTAATTAGGAACACCTCCATCTCACCACATTTAGGTCAGGGCCCTGTTGCTCAATCTGCAAGACTGACTTTGAGCTTAATATAATTATCACATTAAAATAAGCACAAAAACAAAAGGCCTACTAACCTGGAAATATGCATGACTTTTTACATTTTAGATATTTTGAAACATTCTGGATCTGCTCTGGAGGACTCCTGTATTTTAGGTGCTTGTTTTCATACAGCTTTACGTGATAACATGTCGCTTCTAATAAACCTCCCAAAATAAAAACCAAAAAATGTAAAATATCACTTTATATTTTAGGTTTTGCATGTGTTGGAAATATTTACTTTGTTTTAACTTTGTCAAGGTGTGAAGATGCCACTGCTGAGTTATTACCAGACCTGGGTAATCTTAATGACAGTTATAAAGAGAATGCAATACTGCCACCTAGTGGCCTTTTTTTGCAAGTGAAAGAAAAAGGAAGCTTTGTAAAAAAAATATTTTGCTAAGATTTAGCCATAGACCAGTATATGAAAATAAAGTGAAACAAAAGTAAAGGAAAATTGGCAAAACACTTAATGTTTAAGAGAGCTGATTTTAAAAAGTATTTACTCAGAAAACCTGTAAACAAACACATATGCAACACCTTTTAGTTTTAATTTCAAAAAAGGTTCAAATTGACATCTTTTTCCTTTACCTTCCTCTTCATAATTTTTCATTAATCAAATTAAAACCAGGGGGTACAAAGAAGCCTTCGCTTATAACATGAACAAATATTAAAAAAAGATCAAGAAATGTTAATACATCATTGGACAGTTTCCTGTTTGATTGACTTTGCTGCTGATGAAATTTTTGGCAGCTAAAAACTTCCACTGAATCAATTGACTTCCCTTGCATGTCCAAAAGGGCCTTTTTAACCAGAATCAGACTTGTATGGGCTGGATGTACTGAGTGCTTCTTAGTTGAACCTCGGCGCATTCGCAGTGCTGTGAGATTAGCACATATTTTAAAGGTTAGCATTTAAATCTGCAAAGATATTTCTGTTGCAGCAGGCAAACTTTGTCTGGCCTCACGTCTGATGTAATATCAACAGAAAACCATTGAGCTCGGATAACATGGAGCAATACAGAACAGGATTTCTCATAGGCTCTTTCCACACAAAGATACACACACACTGCTAACATTTAATCTCTTCTTGTGACAAATATATGACTGAGGGACAAAAAAATACAATCTTCTTACAAAGCTATCATTTCCTCCATTTTACCTTAGGGTAAGACAGACGTAGGTCTGTGTGTGCGTATCCTAGATCCTGCAACAGTTTGTGCTTGTTCCCATAAGTTTATTTATGGTGCATAAATAAGTTTAGCATTTCATCCCATTATGCAGAACCAGAGACGTAATATTAAAAATCACACAATAAACCAAGATATGTGTTTACTGGACTCTTTATGATGTCTACAGGCAGGTTTACCACAGTAGTAGATTCAAAACCAGAAATGATGGCTTTTAGTTTGCCACCCAAGATTTTTAGTGGCCCCATCTGGCAACCCCTATGAAACATTTGTGGAGGCGCCTTTGATTGTCAGAGCTGAGCGATGGATTTCTGCAATTCTGATAAAGTTACCAAAGACCTACTGGATAGCTCTGAATAATCATCTCCTTAGCACATATTTCCTTATGTTGTGATGATAGGGTGTTGTGATACTTGGGATAGTATTTCTTAACCCTTGCTTTATTACCTACACAACCTTTTCCCTGATGCCTCTGCTGTGTCTTTTGTCTCTTCCATAATGTTCTCAAACAAACATTCCCATTAAGCCTGGGATTAATGTGCACACAGGTGACCTATTTATCTATAAGGCAACCTCCGGCCTAACCAAGATTTAATTTTACAGTAATACACATACACACCTGGAGCCACTATCCGTTTAATCTGATAGATTCTCCAAAGCAGACTCAATAAAAAAAAAATCTGTAAAATAAATCTAGCAGAGTCAGACTTGGTCAGATTAGGTTCTAAACACCACAGGCAGAGAAGTGCGTTGGATGTCATAGTTTTCAAAACGGTATTTATAAAAAAAGAAAATATGTATTATTTTTCTTCTGTTTTAGAATTTTCTGCTACTTTCCATTGGTCACTCACATAAAGGAAGGGTTTTTTACAATGTTTGGATGTTATGTGACAATGTCTGATTTTATGCACATTTTGCATTTCACTGATTGAATTATTTTACTGCTCACCCTATTCCCTCACTAGTTATGTTTTATCCTGCTGTGATAATCGTTTATGACTAAATGGGTTTATTGCACTTACACCACCTGTTTAAAGTAATTACTGTGCCTCCTCACCCCATAGTGTGCCGTCTGTGTACATTACTTACGGTTGAACATAATGTTTGCGCGACTCTACGTCTACGTTACGGTTATGTATGGCAAATCGTTTTAACTTTAATTACTACGGAGCTGCTTGTAGGGTATGAATCAGCTTTATTTACCGAATATATAAATGTAGGGAGGAATAAAGGTGATTTAATAGAAATTTGTATTTAACTTGGTATTGTTACCAAAGAAACAGGGTCAAATTGATGGAAATATACCTAGTGAGAATTGTTGGGGATTTATCCTGGTAACAATATAGCTATAGATATCATGTGTTTAATTTTGACTTTTAGTGTTGTTTCATCATTCCTCATTGGTTAGAGGAATAATATCAAAAAGATTTATTTTTTTATTTGTTTTTTGTTTTTTTACAAAAAAATATTTGTATCATAATATTTTTTGTTACTATTTATTTTTAAAATATCTGTAACTTAAGAGCAAGTGGGACAGAAGGCATAATGTAGAAACAAGGTAGGCAAATAAAACTGATTCTGATTAAATAATAATAGATATTGCCCTAACTTGTCAATCGTTGGGTCCTTTGAAGCGAAACTTTAGCACGTGACAGCAGCTCAGATCGGAAAGAGAGAGCGCGAGACGAGTGCTGCGGCTCTGTCAGAACCGAGTCGCGCGGATGAAGCACCGGTCACCTTCAGAACAGCATCACGGGAAGCAGCCGCGGGTCGGTGTCCCCACCGCGGCCGCCTCAGCCTCACCGCAGAGCGACATGGAGGACAAACCGACGTTCACTCCGCGCGAGCTCACCCAAAACCCATTGAAGAAGATATGGATGCCAAATAAACACGGCCTCCCTGAAAAACACATTTCTCATCGAATGGGTGCGTATGGGCGACGTGACGGCAGTTAGCATAGCTTTCTATAGCTCTTATGTTGATGAACTTCCCTTTTAAATGTGTGAATCCACCCTGAGACAGTCCGGCTGAAGAGAAACAGAGTTCAGATGCTGCTGCTCCAGCCGCCTGCTTCACACGGTTATGTAAGGATTGAAACAATGTCCCTCTGCTAAAGAGGAGAAAAGACTCGCGCTGTTCATGTTTACCTCTGCTTTTGTGCCAAATGAAACGCCAGTTGTTAAAAACAGGAGTTGTTTTTTTTCTTCTTCTCTCCATTCATCAGATGAAATCAGTTATTTTATCTGCGCGCACACAGATGGCATCTCAGCTCATTGTGGAAAATAGTGCAGGTTGTAATATTGTAACCTAGCCTGAAGTTATTGTCTAATTTGCTCTTTAAGACTTTTTTTTTCTTTTGCTTTTAAAAACTCGACACCACAACCTTAGAGTCAATCTATACTGATCCAACAGGAAAATTAACAACCACAACATCCCTATTTTCCAAATAAAGACTATTCATACTTTCCTCCAACCTTTGCTAACAAATATACGCATATATTTAAACATCCTTGCTTCTTAGTTATAAGTTATAGTGGATAAAGTTCTTTCAGGTTTGAGTTCTGGGCAAACACCTTTTCCATTGTCTTTACTTGCCTACTTCTATCAATAATTATTCTGCTTAAAATTGATATTTACAAGTACTAATATCTACAAAAAGTGTTTATTTACTAAGTTTTTATTAAAATAGTTATTTATCTATGATTAACTGAAGACTCCTAGATGACTTGCATTTTCTCTTTACCCCATATAACAAAATCTAGTTCAGAAAAGAGCAGGAATTCTGTACTTATCATCTTTAATTTTAGTATATCGATGTGCATAATTAACCACCATGTTTTTGTTGTCAAGTAATTGTTAATGTATGAAAAATGTACATTTTTTTTAAATATTAATAGTATTACTGCTGCCACTGTCTGTATTCCAAGGGGAAAAAATGAAAGGGGTCTCCAATGATTGGGTAAGGGTGGCCATGGCCACCCCTGGCCCCCCATCTAGCTCTGCCCCTGAGTCCAACGTACTAGAAAACTTGGTGTTTCCAGATGCATCCAGGCTAGAACAACTGAAAATGGGAACTGCTAATGGGACCCCAATCTAACTCTGCGTTGGGCTAATGCTGTGAAGACCTTTCTGTTTAGCTGCTTTTTTCTTTATCTGTAGTTCAAGATTTACATTTTTAAAACTTCTCACACTTTAAAATACTTTAGGGGGGTGTCCTACTACAATTAAAGTATTCTACATTAAGTACATTTTTTTGAGGCTGTTTTATGATTTGTGAAGCTTCTATTTAGTTTGCCAATACAAAAAGAAAATAAACTGTCTCTTTATGCCATGTGGACCAACTGTGACTGTGAAAATAACCCCATCTCAGGTGATCTGTGTGTCTAAAAGGGATTGAAATCTATGATCTCAAATTGTATCTTGTGGAAGTTTTAGGACAAACCCATCCAGATTTTACTTGTTTTATTGTAGGAAGTTTTTAATTTTTATAAGGTCTAAATTGCGGCTGCAACTAACGATTATATTGCTAATCGATTTCTCTGTCGATTATTTCTTTCAACTATTAATCGAATTGCAAAAGGCTCCTGAAAGAAGACTTTTTGCAAAATTAAACCAGGTGAAACTAAATCTTTTCCTCTTGAGGAGTTCTGGATGGAGCATATTGACAGATGAGAAATATTTTTTTTTATCTTAATGCAAAATGTTTAATGTATAATTGCTGCTCAAGGTCAGCTACAGGCACGTTTTAGAGTCTCTACATTCCAGTTAACGATTAATGATTTCCAAATTAGTTGACAAATTATTTCAGCCCTTGCCTGAATTCTTTAGAATGTGTCGGCTATCTCTATTTTACAAAAAAGGCTGGAGTTTTCTCAAGTTGAACCCTCATCTATTATGATCTTATGTCCAAATAAATGGTTATGTTCGTGGCTTGATGGATGGTGGAGTTAAATTGTGGCTTTAATAATGCCTGCTCCCCTCCAGCCTCCCATCTCTTTGGCTCTAGTGTGAAGAGCTTTGAGTGGTCAGTGAGATTAAAAAGGTCTGTCAGCAACCCTTCATGTGACTGGTACTGGTATTAGTGGGAGTGATGGCCTAGTGGTTAGAGCAGTGCGCTGAGAAGTACCCAGTTCAATCCCCACAGCCTGCACTCTTGGTCCCTGAGCAAGACCCTTAACCCCACACAATGGCAGCCCACTGCTCCTCAAGGGGATTCTCCAATGTGAGATCAATAAAGTTCAATTAAATAATGACTTACTTGCTTCTGCTTCGTTGAATTCTAAACAGCTGATCATTGACAGACTTGTTTTACATTTTTCTTTGAAATATTATAAGCTATACGTTAAAAAGAGTGCCGCAGGCTCTTCAAAGGGCGAAATATTTATTATAAGATCATCCTTTTTCTGTTCCAAGGCATGTGTCTTAACCTTTTTCTGTTTTCTATTTTATTTTTTTTTTACTCACTTAAAAAGTAAATGCTGTTGGTTAATGCATATATTATCTAAAAGTGGCAGAAATGGTGAGGCTTTTAATAAGCAAGAGAGAAAAAAATCACGAGAGCTGATCCAGTGGTCATTTGCTAATCCCATTCTCTGGCAGGTCGTTTCATCTTCAATTAAACTACCTGTAGTTCTTTTTTCATTTTCACAAATACAGAAATGTTTAATGAACAACCCAACCTTTAAACTAGGGCTGCTTAAAAGCAGTGAAATAACCACTTAATCAGGTTCTTTGAATCAACTTCAGAGATGTCAGTTGGGTAGAAGTATAGATCCTGTTAAGCTGTGGTGATGTTACTGGATTTAAGATGGTTGGGTATGTGGAAAAATAAAAACAAAAAGTGAAACAGATTTTATCGAACCAGTGTGACAAGTGCCTTACACTACTTATCACCACAAACTGTGAAAAGTATGTCCTCTGTTAGCGAGTTATACAGGCTCTCTGGGGAAACTTGCTCCTTGCCTTTTTGACCCCTCATGCTGACACATCCTGGAAACAGAGCAACCTCTGCTCCATAGTCTGCCATTATAAAAACGATCACATGTGAATGTCAGAGATTTACTTTTAATTATGTTTTATGAAAGGCAATAACTAAGCAGGCTGTAAAAGTGATAGTGTTATTTTTTTTTATTACTGTAAAGCAAAGATTAATAGAAATGCTGATAACACTGATGTTTAATCAGTTTTAAAGCTGAAATGATTCTATGCTCATAGACGTTAAACAGGATTCTTGTTTTTTTGATCATTTCAGTATGCATGACCAACTGTCCAACTCTGATCGTGACTGTGGGCCTCCCTGCACGAGGAAAAACCTACATCTCAAAGAAGCTGACCCGCTATCTGAACTGGATCGGAGTGCCGACCAGGGGTAGGACTCCTCAGCATTTCCACATCCTGTGAACAGTCACGAAGCCCAGCTGTACAAACACGTCTGGAAGAGCAGGGGTGCCATTTTCATTCCTCTGTTCTTTTTCTGCAGAGTTCAATGTTGGACAATATCGAAGAGAGTTCCTGAAGATCTACAAGTCCTTTGAGTTTTTCCGTCCAGACAATGAGGAAGGGTTAAAGATCAGGAGGTACCAGACACGTGTGTCGCCATAATATCTTTTTGAAGATAGCAATTATATGATGCTAACTGCTGGAAAATCCCCAATCTGTGCAGGCAGTGTGCTTCAGCCGCTCTAAATGATGTGCGACAGTATTTAACAGAAGAAGGAGGCCAAGTAGCTGTAAGGAAAATATGTTATTAGAGTTTTCTTTTTGTTTTTAGCAGGTATAATTCTTTATGTATTGATAAAAAGCTTCTGTTTCTTAGGTGTTTGATGCAACAAACACAACCAGAGAAAGAAGGGACACCATTCTGGAGTTTGCAGAACAGAACGGCTTTAAGGTAAAGCTGCCATCTAAAAGCCTGAATGCGAAGAAACTCTTGATCACAGTGTCTGTATTAAATCTGCGTTGCCTCACTCTTTATTTTAGGCCTTTTTCGTAGAGTCAGTGTGTGAAGATCCAGAAGTCATCCAGGAAAACATAGTTGTAAGTAGTGAAATACCTAAAGCCCTTCATGATTTCACATATTTGGTGTCCTTCATCTTCCCACTTGGTTTTGATAAATCGCATAAAATCCTAATGAAGTACATTTAGATTTGTTTAAACAGAGTTAAAACATAAAAAAAATACAAAGATAGACTCTTTGAATAGTTTACAGGGCATTTGGGTTGGATTAACTTTAGTACACCTGCTATTCTCTCCCTGACTTCTTTTTAGCAAGTAAAGCTGGGAAGCCCTGACTACACAAACTGCAACACAGAAGAAGCAGTGGAGGATTTCATGAAGAGGATAAAATGTTATGAAAACTCTTATGAGACGCTGGATGAGGTTTTAGACAGGTGAGGATTAAATTACTAGCAAAAGGGAAGAAGAGTCCAGTGTTAATGTTTATATGCAACCAGAGGTTGTTTGTTTTTCTGTTGACTTTATCGCATCTATATAAAGGTCTTAGTTGCTTTATAATCTGGTTTCAGGGATCTTTCTTTCATCAAAATTATGGATGTAGGCCAGCGCTACTTGGTTAACAGAGTGCTGGACCACATCCAGAGCCGGATTGTCTACTACCTCATGAACATCCACATTACGCCGCGCTCCATCTACCTTTGTCGCCACGGCGAGAGTGAGCTTAACGTAAAGGGTCGGATCGGAGGAGACTCCGGTCTGACGCCGAGGGGAAAAGAGGTAAAAGAGATTTGACACTTAAAGAGCTTTGTCTTCAAAAATGTCTTGCTTCTCTTCTTCTTTTTTTTTTTTTTTTACATATTAGAGTAAAACAAACATATTTCTTCTTTTTCCAGTTTGCTAAGAAGCTGAACCAGTTTATCCAGACACAGAACATAAGTGAACTGAAGGTATGGACCAGTCAGATGAAGAGAACCATCCAGACAGCAGAGGCCCTCAATGTTCCCTATGAGCAGTGGAAGGTGCTCAATGAGATTGACGCGGTAAGCATTATGTTGACTTACAGAGGCAGTTAACTTTTATCCCCTCTATGAGATTTTTTGAATGTTTTGTTTTCATGAACAGAAATTTTGTTCGACACATATAAATAGTGAAAAGCTCCTCTCAGTTTACCTAAATGCAAATAAGCTTTCTAATATTTGGTCCAAACGGACAAAGAGCGTCTGTCTTCATTTGTTGATAAACCTCTGTATTGTTCATATCTTAATCTCTTACTTACTCTAAGCACCTGATTTGACAAATAAGCAGTGTTTAATATGTTTAACTGTTGTGTGTGTGTTTTTTTTTTTTTTTTTTATGTATAGGGTGTGTGTGAAGAGATGATGTATGAGGAGATCCAGGGAAATTATCCTCTGGAGTTCGCCTTAAGGGACCAGGACAAATACCGCTATCGCTATCCAAAAGGAGAGGTCAGCAGAGGATTTACTCATTTCTCTCATTGCTCTTTTGTTTGCAAATGCTTTGTGTGCACAAAGCTAAGGTAGCGGTAACGCACAGTTTATATTTAAGTGTTTAAAAGTTTAAATCATCTGCATTTTGTTGTGAAATGAATCAAAACCAGTTTTTATTATCTTTAACAAAGGGATTCTTTATAGTTTTGTTTTATCACTGACTTGTAAAAACTGATACATTATATTTTTTTTCAACGTTGTTTCCTGTCTCCCTTTTTAAAGCCAGTTTTAACCACAATTGGAACAAAACCATAAATAGTTCTTTTGTTTCTGTGGGTAAAAATGTCGCTGCTATTAAATTTAGCTGCCATTAAACCCTAAACTCACTTCAGATCCAACTGACGGCAGGGAAAATAGTGTTATCTTGCCCTTCACCTTTAACAACTGTAAACCTGTTATCTAGTGTATCAAAAAGAAGGTCAGAGTTTCAAAGTAGTTAATTGCATATCAGTAAATGTTCCTGAAAAGTACATTTTCAAACAGCCGACAGCCTCAGCAAGCAGGCCAAGTTATTCCCAGGAGGCGGTTTGGTCGGAGGGCTGTTTATAAAAATATTAATGGAAAGCTAAAGAAAAGAAATAAAAATCTGGTGCAAAATTATGTTTAAAATAACATTGTTTTATAGTGTTCTTTTTACTGACACCAAACTGCACATTTAAAACCAGTTAAAATAAGCACAACTTTCTAAAGATTCTGTTATATCACTAAGGAGCTTTGAAATAAACCATTGGGAGATCTTCTTTTTTAAATCCCCCACTGCATATTTCATCTTCCATAATTTAATATTTTAAGGGTTGCTATATGTCTAAATCGAAGTTCCTCAAAGTACGCTGTGACTCGGATTCTGTTTTCTAAGCTCTTGCCTCATCTCTCTTCAGTGTCTTAACCATTTAGACATTATTCAAATAGCTGTTTACCACTTGCCCTTCGCTAATGATGATCTAATGTTGGGTAATCAGCCTCTCCGGCAGCTTTAGCTAAACACTAGAGCACAGTAACCAAAGATTTCTCATTAGCTGCTCTGTTACTGTGGAGCTAAAGACCCCAAGGTCAGCTCTCAGCTTTCATTTACCCCATTAAACCTCCATTAATCCCTCAGACCAAGATTCATTATTTGGTGAGTGTCCATGTTCCAGCTGCTTAAATGTTAGCCTGCTTACCTTTACAGTTAATGTCTATCTTTGCAGCTTGACTTTAAACTAACAAAGATGTTCTGATTGTCCCCTTAAACGTGATGTCATGCTCAGTCGTACGAGGACTTGGTGCAGCGCTTGGAGCCAGTCATCATGGAGCTGGAGAGGCAGGAGAACGTGCTGGTCATCTGTCACCAGGCTGTCATGAGGTGTCTGTTGGCTTACTTTCTGGACAAGACAGCAGGTGGGTGCTTTTTTAACCTTAAGCTAAAAAAAAAAAGATCCTGGTTTCAAGGCATTATGACTAAATTGTGTTATTGTGAAATGTGTGAAGCATTAAAGAATAAAAATGCTTGCCGAATTGAAGGTTGGACTTCAGTGGAAGCTGTTTTTTAGATCACAGGTGTCATTCCATTAAAATGCAGTATTACTGCTTAGGATTTTTGACATATTAATATATTTTTTATATTTAGCTTTATTGATCTTGCTCAGAGAGTGGCAGTCTGTGGGAGTGGGTTTCAAACTAACAACCTCAGGATTACAAGTTCTATGCCCTAACCTCTAGGCCGCTACTTCCCATAAATCATCCTGATCAGCAGTTTATATGATGGAATGACTGTTTATGCAGCTCTAATAGCTGCGGAAAATAAGACATAATAACAAGAGGAATCATGTTGCAAGTTTTTATTGCATTTTATATTCCAGGGCAGTTTTTTTTATATATTTGATTTATTGTTACACGTAGAGATGTTCCTACCATTTTTTCTCTCCTGATAAGATTCCAATGCTTTTGCTGTGAGTATTGGACAATACCAGGTAGCGATACCAGTATATTACAAAAATACATATATAATCATACTACGCCATCGTGGCTGGGATATGGTTATCATTTTATTAAGACCTGGCCGAGTTTAAACACTTGAATGGAAACATAAATTAATTCAGAAAATTTAGGTCATTTATTTTTTTTATTTTTAGAATAGAGCAGTATTTGGGAAGGAGAAAAAAAAACAGTAGTAGCAGTCATAATGCTGCAGCTGCAATTGAGGGTTTTCTCTTTGGCTGGATTTATATATAAAAAACTTTAAGCAGTTTTGAGAGCGGGGATTTTTTATTTTTTTTACACTAGAAACCAGGAATGGGCACATGCCTAACGCATAAAAAAGCATTGTGTGAAATCAGCTAAACTAAACATATAAATGGCTTTCCTTTGATTGGCTTTTAGTGGAAAACTGCTACCCATCCTCTAGAAATAACAGCTGCTAATTATTCATATTTAATAAAGCCTTTGCAGTATTTAACTCGAAACTACGTGATTCATTCTGTGATCTATTGTGTGTAATACAAAGAAAGTAAAGTTCAGGATGCTTAAAATGGCTGCTCTTACCAAGCATTAGTCTTCATGTGGATACTTACCTTGACTCTGGCACTTCCCAGGTTTTATTGATCAGATTTGTTTATTGCTACAGAGGAGCTGCCATACCTGAAGTGCCCTCTGCACACCGTGTTGAAGCTGACACCTGTTGCCTACGGTAGGAATGGTTTCTTGTGTTATTTACTTTTTAAGTAGCTATGTGCTGAAATAAAAACCTTTGGCAATCCTGCTTCACCAACAAACGTAACAATGGTCTCTCAACATGCAGGCTGTAAAGTGGAGTCCATCAGCCTGAATGTGGAGGCAGTCAACACGCACAGAGAGAAACCTGAGGTGGGTTACGTCACATAAACACTATTTTTGAGAACCATACTGGTTAAAAAATAGGTTAGCTTTTATAGTTTCATTTGCTGAATACGTTAGCGGGAGTCAATGTGTTGAAAGCATCCTTTGAGCCAGTTTATTTGCAGAAAACATTTTGTACCATGTAAAACTCTTTTTCACACTCCTACATAATAATAAAAAAGTAATTTTATTCTGAACAACAGATTCTGAAGTCATGCATTTATTGATGAATATGTCTTTGTTTAGTTTTTTACCAATTAAGCCTCTTTGAAAGATGATGCGTCATTATTGTAATTCACACAGCTTATACATGATGCATGAGGCGCTATCTGCCTGACAAGCACTTTGAATTCATGGTTTAAGCGGATAGAGTCCTCATTACAAATACTTTAATAACCATATTTGAAAGTTTTATTTTTTTTGTTCCAAATGTTTTTGTATGTGTGTGCAGTTCATTTCATGTTTCCCTTGTTTGATTCCTCCACCTCTTGTTTTTTTTTTTTATCAAACAGAACGTAGAAGTGACACGGATGTCAGAGGAGGCTTTGATTACTGTGCCAGCTCACCAGTGAGGCAGTTAGCCCTCCTCAACATCCTCAAACTTTTCCTCTTTTAGCCATAATTACGCACAATGAACCCTTAGGACGCACAAAATGTACAATCCAAAATCCTTGATTGAACCTCCTTCCTTTGGTCTTGTCTTCTGTTTTTTCTTTTTTTCCCACTTTTATCTGAAGACATGATTATGGTGGTATTTAACTGGATACCAGCTATTATTATTATTGTTATTTTTAAACCTACCATGAATGTTGTCATGTTCACGCTCCCATTTTTGGAGAATGAACGAAAACCTAATGAGGGTATTTTTAAAAATGACTCTGCACTCCAAACCATGAAGCAATGAAGCTCCAGCACCTTGTCTGAAGAAGCACCTTTTACCTTTATACACTTTCAAATTTTATTCATTGATCTAACTTTTTTTAGTAGTGCCTCAGTTTTAACTAAACTCTAATCTGTCTACACAATTAAAATAAAATGTGCCTAACAATAATTTATTAGTATGTGAAAGTGTTAATTTAAAAATTGCTGTATATAGTTGTATTTGACACAATGTGAAAGATATTACAGTATATTAAAACATATGTTTGCTGTTTCTGAATAAAATTCAACCAAGCATTAACTGATCCATACCAAACTTTCCTTGTGCTTCATTTAAAGATGAAATGTTTAATCGATAGCCACTTTGAGTCAAAATGCTATAAAAAAAATACATGCACCATCACAGAACAAACAGCACTGTTGTGTAGATTAAAAAATATTTGTTATATAGACTTGCTGTATGATTTAATCCAGAGGTCAGAATTTGTAAACAATGTCAAGACCCAGTATTTTATGAAAGTAATTTATAAGTTCCCCTGAAAATATCCTAAGATGTTCCACAAGGATGTTTTAGTTCACACTTTTTGTATTTTACTGTTCATTTTTTCTCTTTATGAAACAAGCTATTTAGTCTGAAACAAAGTAGTCTGATGATGCTCCAACATGCGGCTTCTATAAGGGGCCTCACTGATTAAATGAGTAAACAGGATTTCCAAATTACACTACTTTGAAATAAAAAATTAAAAAAACAATGAAAACTACCCTTCAATTGATACCTTCCACAGATTAAATTCCTCTTTCATTTTTTGAGCACACAGGGCTGATATTTCCTGTTTATTGATATGCAAGGTTCCTTTGGGGTTGAATAACAGCACCGTCACCCAGCCTGAACAGAAATAGAGCTAATGAATTATGCTTGGTATAATCTTTGCATTTAGTTGCAGTGTGTAGAAAATGTCTGTGGCAGAACATCCCAAGTCTTTCTAAAAATCAAAATCCTAAGAAGAGATCTCCTCTTTCCAAAAATAGATGCACGTTAGCTGCAAAACCCCAACTCCCAATAACTGTTGGTTTACCAGTATGCATGAAAAGCGCTCTGACCCAGCTGCATTCCTCCTTCCAGAATGTTGACATCCACCGTACCACTGAAGACGCCCTGCAGACTGTCCCCGCTCACTTCTGATGCCCGTATCGGGAGTCCAGCGATACTGTTACATCCTCTCTCGTAATGGTCTTTTGTGTCTCACATTTCCGATCATCCTTTCATCATCTAACTCAACCGGTGACTGATCGGCTTTATAGCACTGCCCCAATGTATAAAATGTAGAGATCTTCCTGTGACCTGCATTTTTTTCCCAGTTCAAGAGGTTTTATTTAATCATTGTGATCCAAATTTTCATATTGGAAATTGTTACACTATGTGCTAAGAGAACAGCTGCTGCAAGTTATGATTCAACCCTCTTTCATGGCAGAGTGGGTGTGGGGAGGGCAGCTTTAAACACTTGACTCACAGCAGAGTTTGCTCTGATCGCTATTAAATTCACTGTTTTCAGTGTCTGTATGGTGCAGCTGCAGATTTAACATGTTTTCAAGTGTTAACCATGTGATTGGTCTGCTGCATGTTTCTTTGTGCAATCATAGGTTCACATGAAGGTGGCTTCAGAGATGATGTGCAATGTTTAGGTTTTAAACCTACTTTAAAAAAAAGAAAATTAAAAAAAAACTTATTGTGTGCTGATGGGAGGGAATGGAGTAAAGCAGTACTACTTTGATAAACTGTTCCTAGAAGTGAGTGAAAATAGCTTTTCTCCCATGGCGGTCCATATTTATATACATATATTGACCATCTGTGATATATTAAGTAGGACACTAAAGCAATAGAAATGCAAAAAGGATCATTAGCTGACATTTGTTGTGCTGATCTTGACTTGAAAACGTATGTTCCAACTTGACTGCAATAAAGATGTTATTTTTCTAAACCACTCAGCATTTTTTTATTTGTCATCCATCGCTGGATTATTTCCCCCCAAACCTTTTAACTTGCTGAAAAAGTCATGCCTTTTCAAATAATCTGTTTATCAAAGCGAGTCATACGAGCATATGTTTAACCCGTGGAAATAATGCTTATATCAAGTGGCCCGAAAACAAATTAACAATGATTAGTTGCCTCCTTCCGTTTAAGTGAAGTTATGTGTTTTATGATTAGAAAAAAGCGATTTTTTTCTTATAGAGGGTTGCTGGAAATGTGTATATTTGAATATACTATTAATGTTTTTTTCCCTTCAGTTTGAAAAGAATTTACTTAAAGGCGACAAGTACTCATAGTTTAAAGAACCAAGGATGGATTCTCACTAATATAACAGCCAAACTATTTCAAAATGGAATTTTGATCATGTTGAACAACTCTGGACCTAAAAGCTATTTTTAAAGCCAAGAAAAGTGATTTTGTATATTGGGTCATATTTCAATTATTTGTGAAGAATCAATTAGTCCTATCGAGATCAATGTATACGTTTCGCTTAGGGAACGCCACCGTTTGGCAAGAGGGAAACAAAACTTTTACCTTCTTGCCTGGTTTACGTTTAGCAGCTTTAAACAAAGACATACCTGTAAATTCTCATTCATCAGTCATGGAAACCTTTAGCTCAGTGTTTTGGTTTAACAAAGACAATTGCATAAAGCAACAGTCATTCCAAATAGAAAGCAATGTCTGAGTATGTATATATATATATATATATATATTTTTTTTTTTTTTGAGTTTTAGATGGTGGAAACTAACAGGCCCTTTTTCCAGTGAAGCAGTTAGATTAAATATAATCAGAATTCTCCAAATGGATTTTTTACTCTGACAGCCATTTACTGCAGGTAATAGAGTGCTAGCTTTGAACTGCTGTGTTTAACCCCACTTAACCAAGAAACTCTCTATAAGTGAAATGTTCACACAGTCTCTGCAGCACTTCCCCTTCCCTCACATCAACGGTTCATGATGCGGGGTATGACCTCACCACCTCCTGTAAATGACTTCCTCAAAGAACCGAGCTGTTTATAGGTGGAGCAACAGCGGCAGCACGAACCATGTATGGCCTTTTCTCAATGTCAAAACACGAGTATAAACAAGTGACTTTATTTCTCTTTCAATATTTTCTTACAATAGTTACCGTGGCAACTTTAGAGACGAGTCTCACTTTGTGATTTAATGCCACACAGATCGCTTCCATAGACATTTATGTTCAAAACTTTGGAGACCAATTTGAAGCAACAGTGACAGAACATACAGACTCTGTTAGACAATACAAAAACCTGGTCATTTAATCAGCAACAACAAATCCTTAGTGCCCCTGTATTCATGGCTATCAACTTTGATTAATACTTTAAGGACCCGCCTTTGTGTGGGGATTTGTTCAGAGGCTAAAAATGAAACTGGTAAATATTTCATTATATACAGGAATTGATATCCATGAATACAAGGAAATATATAATATGGACACAAAGGGTGTCAGATTGGTCACAACTATCTCATCTGATTGGCTGTTCCCTCCTTAGGTTCCCACTCACATTTTGATTGGCCCTTGGAGAGTCGCAAAAGACAATGCCGTCATCAGAACTATGGAAGAGACAAAAAGCAGTTAGTCTTTCTTGGTCATTATGCCCAACAGTGAATAGACCAAATAATATATTGGGGGGAAAAAAAAGACGTACGTTCTTGAGGAATTCTTCAGCAACAATACGGGCCCTGGCATTAACAGACAGTTTCATCTCGCTGATCTCCTTGTCGATCTCCTCCATGAAGTGGATGACGAAGTCCACCAGCTTGTGTTTGTACATCTGCTCTGTATGGAAGTTGGTGATCAAGAAGCTAATATCATATCCCTGCGAAGATAGGAGGGGCGTTAAAATCGGTACTCAAAACAAAAATAAAAGAATAAAGTTGATTCATTTGCCATCTGCTGCTTAATTAACATGTACCAGTTTCAATGGGGGCCAAGGCTGACGAGGACGATTTATACAAATTAAAATGACTCCACACAGTGGAGTCCGTTTGCTGTCAATGACTGTTTTCATTGTTCTAAAAATAATAACTTCTCTCCCCTTTAATCCCATACCTCCACTGGTTTCCTCCTCAGAATGAAGAAGTTCTCAGCTCTCATCATCATGAACCGCATGAACTTGTGGCAAAGAATCTTCTCGATCTCATCAGCCTACAATAAATAAGAAGTGATTTTAAATTTGAAAATGACATAGTAAGGGGGAAAAAAGGGCATCACATCATGTTAAATGACCTGCTTGACAGCAATGCTGACTCTGACGGAGTTGATGGACCCCTCTATGAGAACTTTCTCCTTGTCATTACGGCTGATCACCACCGGCTGAAGAAGGAGCTCCTTACTGCTCCTGTAAGCATGACAACAAAAGGCATTCTCAGCTGACAGATAATTCATCCTTTACAGATGCCTGCTGGTATCTACTCGGATGTCTGCTAACAAGCTGCAGCAAGCCCCTTTCAGGTAAACTCAGGAGCCTTACTGCAGCCTTTGCAATATTTTTTCCTCCCCATACTTTCTTTAGCAAGTCAGATCAAGTCCATGCTTGTAGGATAGCTTCTGAATATCCACAGGTGGCTTTAGGGAAGTAAAAATAACAGTAAAGACTAAAACTATTGGGTCTTCTGATGATCAAGTGCCAATATACATACCTGACCTCCACCTCAGGCTTGTTGTGACGCTCCACCACCTGAGAAGAGAAATTCTCCAGGCAGAGGGCTGCCTGCAGGGTGGCCCTCACGGCGTTCAGGTAGGGGCGCAGAGTCGCTGTCTGAGGAGAAAGGGGGGAGTGATCAGCAACTACTGAGGGGGGGGATCATGCTTTGTTTTGTTATGCAGATCGAAACAGGAAAAAGTGACCCTTCAGCTCTGACAGTGTGACCTTTGAGGTCAGGTTTGACCGGTAGGATATATTGCAACAAATATTAGGACAATATCCCCTGCTAAAACTGACTTAACATGTTTAACTTTAGATAAGTACTCATTATACACTAAAAAATGTGGTCGTTGAGTTATAATTCAACAAAATTTTGGTTTGAAGATGTAGTTATGGGTTTTATTGGGGTAGTGGATATGATGCCTTCAGGGGACGGTGGCTCGTCGTTATTCTTCACGAAAAGCTCATATAATATCTTAAATATTCGTATTTTTATCCCTAAATGTTTACGCTTTGAAAAACAGAAGCCGTGATGGACAAGCTTCGAGAAGAAAAGACAGCTCAGCTAAATCTCTCTAGTTTCTGCATATCGTCTCATCAAGGATGTCCGTGCTCTGATTTTCCTGCAGCCGACCGCAAACATCCACAGAAGCTAGCTAGCTAGCCACCGTCGCATTGAATGAAACCGCGATTAATTGAATTAAACAGCGAAATATTAAAACGTAAAGATAAATCTAAAGAAGGAGACTCACCATTTTTGATCTGTACAAGAAGGAAGTTCCTCAGCCACGCCTGGGACGACTCTTCCGTAAATCCTACATAGTAGAGTACAGCTAAGATGTGCTTGTTTTCTTTTACTTCTTGTTTAAGGGGGCGGATGTCTCCAGGCCACAGATAAAAATGTATGCGTAGTTTATTATACCGCCCGGGCGGCAGGTGATTTTACAACAAATCGAGCGTATACTAAGACGATTCCATTCCGCCGTGTAATAAGCGAAGATGTTGCCATTTAATGACTTATTTAAATTGTCAAATTTACGTTTTTAGGAAAATTTTCGGTCAAAACGATTAAATAATAACGATCTGAGGAGTTAGAAGGATTGTGGATAAAATTTATTTGGGAATTACTGAAGCACTAACACCTCGTTAGAAAAATGGTATGCGCTGAAGATACCACTCTAGCCTCAAAATTAGATGCCATCGAAACTCAATAGTTTTGCTTACTTATTTCGACTAAGGTACTTTTTAAAAACTATTTACCTATAATGGTATATATTAAATTATCTATAGATGAGTTGTAGATATATAAAATATTACTACATTTGTTTTAAATGCTTCAGACACCCTTTTAGACACAATGGTTTTTCCCATCATGGCCACTTTTTACTGACGGTAAATATTGCTGCTCTTTAACATTTAATTTGATGTTTCTATGGCTCAAAATGTAAAAAGTACTTTCTAAAATGTTCACGGGTAGTACTTGTGTGTATTATACGAATAGATATAAGCAGCTTTCATGAAAATTGAACAGAAATGTGGGTCCGTGTGATGCAGGCAGCCCTGTTTGTACGTGCTTTGAGTTTGTGATCAGATAGGCATAACTACAGTAAGTGTCGGTGGGGCTAAGGATGTCTTATTAACCACGTTATCCATTTTTCAGACATCATGAGTGAGTTGAAGGACTGTCCCCCACTTAAATATTACGACTTTAAACCCGTGGAGCATGTGAAGCTGTGTCCCCGCTACACGGCTGTTTTGGGCCGTTCGGAGGATGATGGCATCGGCATCGAGGAGCTCGATACCCTGCAGCTGGAGCTGGAGACCCTGCTGTCCTCCGCTAGCCGCCGCCTCCGGGCCCTGGAGGAGCAGAGACAGGTGAGGGGTGGTCTGCATCTTTCAAATGGGTTTAATACCTGCATTTATTTGGAAAACTATCCATGCCATCTTTTTCAACCTAAAAATCATGTCACTGCCACAAACTTTAATGCGTCTCTAATGTTTTTCTTTTCTTTCTTTCTTTCTTTCTTTCTTTTTTTTTTGGGTAAAATACATTATACATTAAAATAGAGAGCATCAGAGTGAACCAATTTTATTTTATTTTCTGCAGATTCTAATTAGATTTAGGTCAAGATTAAATATGCTTTGATTTAAACCCATCTGCTCTATGTTTTTCTAGTCTTTTACCACCCATTTTGCTCTATGCACCAATTCCACTAAATATAACCAATTTTATTTCCCTGCTGAAGAATGATGAAGCATGATTCTGACAGCACCATTAGCACCATCTGACCACCAACCACCATGAGGATTGTGTTTGTGTGACGATGTGCAGTATTATATTGTTTTCCACACATACCGTAAATCGAGTTGAAATATTCCTCAACTGAATTCTCTCATTAGATGATTTTATAGGCAGTTTCTCTACACTTGATTAAAATAGGGGTATCCATCCAAAATCAAATGCATCACATTCTTTCCCATTTGAGGGGGAAAAAACAATACTTTGCCCAGTTCCTTCTTCTTCTGTTCTGCATCACTTTGCCCTCATTATCCTGTGTTCCATCTCAGATCCTCACAGACTGGCAGGACAAGAAGGGAGACAAACGTTTTCTGAAGCTGAGCAAGGACCCGGATCCTGCAGCCCCAGTCCGTCATAAACCTAAGAAGCCAAAGCTGGAAGGGAAGGGAGCGCACGGACCAGGCCCAGGCCCCGGCAGACCCAAATCTAAAAACCTGCAACCAAAAGTTCAAGAATATGAATTTACAGATGATCCACAAGATATCCCTCGTACTCCAAAAAATGATGCCCCAAACAGGTAACTGGCACCAACTTGCACATGAGAATGAAGGCCTTTCATAAGTTATATCTGAACTATATTATATGTATACTTTCCTCTAGGTCTCATGAATTGTTATATTTACAGTCATAAACAAATGAAGGGCTTCAGCCTCCTTTCTGCTTCTTTATTATTATGTGACTGCTCTTCAGGTTCTGGGCATCAGTTGAACCATATTGTGCAGATATAACCAATGAAGAGATCAGACTGCTGGAGGACCTTCTGAAACCTCCAGACGACGAGGCAGAGTATTTTAAAGTATGACATGAAACAACACTGAACTCATTTTTTGCTGTTAACTGATGATATAGACTGAGCTTCAGCTATGACTCTACTGTAGATTCCAGCACTGGGGAAACACTATTCACAGCGGTGGGCTCAAGAGGACCTGCTGGAGGAGCAGAGAGAAGGGGCGCGAGCCAATGACAAGAAGAAGAGCATGATGGGAGGACCGCTGTCAGAACTGGATGCAAAAGGTAAGAGAAGAACACAGTCTTCAGCCGGGGAAAATGTCTACCATTGGTTTTAGATTGACTGGATCATATTGATACACAGCTGTATATTAATGCCAGTACTCATCCATGTGTTTAATATAGATGTTGACTCACTGCTGAAGAAATCTGAATCCCAACATGAATCACCAGAGGACGGTTGTCCCTTTGGGCCTCTTACTCAGCGTTTGCTTCAGGCACTTGTAGAGGTCAGTTTCATATTAAATGATTGGTATATTACTAAAAAAAATAAATAACTGGGAAACTTAGAACTGTCAAGAAAATTACTGCAAATAAAATGATCTAGACTTTTGCAAAAAGTTCTGATTTGGTTTTTCATATGTTTTAGGAGAACATTATATCCCCCATGGAGGATTCTCCGATACCAGACATTTCAGGAAAGGATACCAATGATGGCGCTGGGACTTCACCTCGGAGTCAAGGAAAAACGTTTAGGTACTATGAGCATCATATTATTGTATAAGAACTTTTCTGCCATGGCTTTAGGAATTTGGGGGTATTATTAACAGTCTTTTGTTTCCCTCGGACTGTAGTAAGGAAGAGATCAGTTCACTGTGTGTTCTGTAAAAATTGATTTTTGTTTTAGTTTTTCTCAACATTAAAGTGTAAAATAATTTAAAATCAAAAACTGCAGCCCTGGAAACATAAAAGCTTTTTTTGCAAACATTGAAAACTAATCTGCACTATTTTGAGCTGTGGGGTTTGACAAGTAAGTTGGATATAGGTAGACTTAGACAACATTTATTGTCATTTTCTATACACAGAGTGTATGTACAAAACGAATTTTCATTCTACATAGCTCTCATGACATTTCCATTTTCTTGAATTGCAGCAATGATCAAATGTAAACATTGTGAGACAAAAAACATGGTGCAAAAAGCGCATTGATATGGTCAGTTTGATGCAGTGCCTGTGTTATGATTTAGATTTTTTTCAACATTCAGCTGTCTGATGGCAGCATTTACCTTCTGTAAATTTCGATTACGATAATTTCAATAATCCATTACACATGATTTATTTACATTTTTTCACCTCTAATTTTAAAGCGAATAATTTTTTTCTCTAACTTCGAAGGAATAAACTGAACCGGAATTATTTAATGAAACTCAGGACAAAACAAAATGATCATAGGTTTAAAAGATGGTCTTAAAGATTCCACTTTAAAAGATGTTTTGTCCAGAATAGAGGAGCTCAAAGATTCTGACCATCCTGCAGCTTTTAGAACCAACACAAGTTAATGGTTATGAGGATTTGACAATGTTTCTCGTTTACAATAAAAGAAAATAAAGATGTTTTAGAACTTTATATTTCTGAACATTTTCTGCCTTCAATTGGCTATAAGATAGGCATGAAGCTGAAAAATAAAGCTTTTTTAAGCAATTTCACAAAAATTAAATATACTTAACTCTAGACTTTAACAGAGGTTAGACTGTTCTGGTATATAAACCCTAGCAGGACTGTATGATCCCAATAGTTTTGTATGAAACATCATAAACTATGCAGGTAAAATCATTATAGCCCTGAGATGGTAATGAACATGAGTTTATTAAAGGCAGCTTCTAACTAACGCTTATAAACTCTTTGTTCCTGCACAGAATGAGCAAATCACCGAGCCTTCAGTGAGCGCCTGCTGTAGGAACGCTGTCATTGAATCAGTGGCTCTGCACCTTCGTCTCTCCTCTGTACTCATGCTGAAATTGTTAACATTGCTGTTACTGGCGTCGCGTGTGCTAACACATGCACATTGTTTACACGTGCCCTTTCACCAGGAAACTGTAGTCCTTATTTATACATATCAGATAACAAATCTGTTTAAGGCAGAGTAATACCTAACACATTACTAACTTTTACAAACTCAATAGTTACAATGCTAGTTACTGCAAAAAAATACATTTTTTCCTCTCCCCTGTACCAGAGAAGTTTTTAGAGTCGGGCCATTTGTCTCATGGGGAAAAGAGAAATATAGCTAAACACTTTTTCATTGTTTAGTGCAAAACAGGCGATCAGATAATGGTTTGTTATCCTTTTATCGCATTTTGGTTGAATAAATGAGAAGCAAAAAATGCTAGCGCATTTTTCTCAATTTCGGTTTCAGATTAAACAAATTAATTCCCTGAATTTACACAGACCGTTTTGTTCTTGTCTATTGGCAAACTGCAACTCAACCCCACACGTCTTGCTGCTATCTATACGTTTCTAGCCTTTTCTGGCTATCAGGATATTTAACCAAACTTCTTGATAGAGTTCATAATATATACATAGTGTATAAGAAAATGAATGTTTGAGTTGGCTTGTTAAGGACAGAATGTACAGCAGCTTAATTCATCTTTTAACTAAGTTTGTTTATTTGTTTCCTTCTATCCAGTGTTCCTCACACGCGTTCCCTGGAGACGCGGATTAAGGAGGAGCTGATAGCCCAGGGGCTGCTGGACTCTGATGAGCGGCCTGGACAAGGAGGAGACTCTGAGGACGAGGTCCTCGCTGAGCTGCAGAAGAGACAAGCAGAACTGAAAGCCCTCATTGCCCACAACAGAGCCAG